CCTCCGTTGCCAGGGTTACTAGGGAGCTGGCACCTGGGGCTGGGAGCGGCCATGTTGTCACGTCTTGAGGAAAACTGCCCTTCCCTTAAGGGAAGCAGAGGGAAAACATCGGTACAGGTGGGACTCTGACCCCATCACTTGCACGAATCTTGGACTTTTCGGTTTGGCGAGTCAAGAAATTTCTGTTGTGCTCAAGACAGCCTGCATCAACTTTCTGTGACTTGCAACTAAAAAAGTTCTGACAGATATGTCCATAAAGATATGACATTTCTTGCATCATGGGCCGCTCATATTGCTTTGGTTTAGATTAGCGAATACGAGTGTCCGCACGGAACGGGTCCCCCTCCTACTGAACCCAGGAATCTCCTGAATTGACAAACACTCCATTCTGATTTTTGCCAGTTAGTGGTTAAATACCAACGTAGGGGAAAGTTCACTCTTACCTGTGGGAGTCTGCTTAGCTTCGTGGGCTTACAAAAGCATGAAAAAGGTTTTCTTACCTTGGACCCAAATCGACACGTGTGAAACTGCTGGTCAGCACCGTGTGGGACGAGGGGGATAGAGGCTGCTCCCCATGCTGCACCTCAGGTCCACACACCGTACCCCCTCTGAGTGGGAGCCCTTCCTTCCACAAATCAGGTTCCCACTGAGGCTTGTGAATGATTCCTGCTAGACTTGACTCTTCTCTCGCTGATATCTTTGATCGTTTTGATTCCTTCTGTCCCTGACTTTAATACTGTTTAATAATAATGTTTAATAAACTTTCTTGTCTTTCTTCACAGTCCCTACTGTTGACAAGCACCACGGGGATGCCCTTCTGCCTGAGTCACCTAGCATGTTCTTTCCTGTCTCCCCTCTCATTCCACTGCTGCCAGAATAATCTCTTTAAAAATGCAGCCCCAATCATCCCTCCCCCCAAACCCTGAATTATCCCTCTGTTGCTTTACCAAATGAATAAGCGTTGACATTCAGGGTACTGTGTGTTGTCCTCTCCTTCCCTTGTTCTTCTAATCCTACCTCCCACCTTGCCCCAATCTGTTCCACTCCAGCCAGAGTCCTCTGCCCAGCTTGGGCTTGCTGATCACTGTCCCGTGGACACGCCTGGCACGGTCTTTGCCCCACAACCTCCGCTGTCCTTGTTTGTCTTCCACTCATTGATGACAGCTGGTCTTTAAAACCGAAATCAGATTCTTGCCTCACTGGTTTAGAATGACCCCTGATGCACCCACAGCAAATACCACTTAGCTGGCATTTAGTTACACGCTCGTTTCCATTAGAATTTAAATTGTTAACTCTGTGAGTCTTTTCAAATAGATTGCAAAGATACATGGGAGCCAGTACAGTGTTCTCATCCTCTTTTGTGTGATTCCGGAGCCCAGGACTATAGATGCCGGCTGATGTAGCCATGAATAGATTATATGTTTTCCTAAATAGAGGAGTCTATAAAAAAAAGAGGGAAAGACCAGAAGGGCCCCTGCTTCAATGCATAACGATGTTTGCATAAACCCAAATACTTGATGAAATTCCCAGATTAAAAACACCATGAAGAGATTTTTAGATAGTCAGATGTTTACCCTCATTGAAAGGGAGACAGCCTTTCTTACCTGTTTTTCAGGGAACCCAGCTCTTCGTAGTTTTTTAGAAATGGTGTTTCTTTACTGCTGCCCCAAATTCCCAGTTCAGACTGAAGAATTACATTATAGGGATTTACATCTTTCAACCTCACTCTTGGGGGTCGTGAAGGGCTAGGTGGCTCGGTTTTAGGTGGTTAGTTTTTGCCAAACCACTTGAAGGAGAATGTCTGCCTCTAAGGGAAGGGGGGGTGGGGATGCTGTCTCTCGTTTTGGTTCTAATGAAGGACGGACCCTTCCCTCCCCAACCACCTGAGGGCACAACTGCTGCTTCTGAGGTCAAGTCTTGCGAGTCCTACCTGGGGAACTGAAGATAAATTGGGTTCTGGTGCAGAACCCGCAGCACGTGAGGAGAAGACAGACTGAAGGCTGACACCCCGAACCCTTTCATGCCTGAACTGCAGGAGCAAAAGATTCCCACCATTTTATGGGGACTGACGTTGCGTTGGGACATAAGTAACTAGTGAATTCAGAGTAGGGAGAGAAAATAATGTTCACCCTGAGGATCAGCTGTAAGTGGTCAGAGGAGCTAGGTTAGGAGGAAGCACCTAAAAGTATCCTGAACGATGAGCTGTCTCTTCCTCAGGCTAAAGAAATGACGGGCCGCTGCCTGCCTTCTACGGGCCAGCGCTAACTCAGAGTCATGAACAAGGCTCTCCCTAGCTCAGTCCGTCTAAGACCCCACTGTCTTCTGAGGCCCCATTCAAGCAACCATCCACCCTGACGGTTGTCTTGCCGACCCCCAGTGTTCTCTCTCACTTTTTTTTTTTTTTTAATGTAAGCTCTAGACCCAACGTAGAGCTCAAACTCATGACCTGAGATCAAGAGTAGTATGTTGTACTGACTGAACCAGCCAGGTGGTTGCTAGAAGCTTCTTCCTAAATCTTTGATGCTTTTTAAAAACATGACTACTAAATTCACGGGCGCATATCACCACTGTTCCCACAGGATCTTTTTATTTTTTTTTTAAGTGGGCTCTGCACCCAATGTGGGCTTAAGCTTACCACCCTAAGATCAAGAGTTGCACGCTCTACCGACGGAGCCAGCCAGGCGTCCCTTCTCACTTCTTAATTCAGTGATTCTGTTTGCACCACTCATGAGCATTTAACATATGGTTGTGATTATTGTCTGCTATTTATCATTGCATATGCCTGGAGAGGCAAGAATCCCATTACGGCGGGATCAGACCATTGCTGTGGGTCATCCTGTGGGCACTGAGGTGTGATAATGCCGAACAGAGTTAGAAATCACAGGGAACAGCTATAAAAAAAAGCCGCCCCGGGACCATGATCAACACGAGGGGAGAGGTGTTCCTTCTGGTACCCTTCCCCGACTGTCCCTGCATGTCCCCCTCAAGGTGGTGGGGAACAAGGACAGGCTGAGCTCTGTCCTGGGGCACTGGGGCTCACTCTGGGATGGAGAACGCTTCTGAAGAAGTTTGCAGGGTCCAGAGTTCCTCAAGGAGAAATGTGTTAAATGTGTGTGTTAGTTTTGGACGGAGGGGTTTGTGCTACCTGGAAACCACATGGGTGGAAAAGAGCATTTCAGTGTTAAGTATAATGACAGACTCCTCTGCTGCTTCCTTGGGACAGAACTCTGACTTGGTCCAAGTATCAGGGGCCCTCTGGGGCACCTGGGCCCCTTCCCAAGCCCAGGGTGACTCTCCTTTAGTCACAGGAGCCAGTCCTAGCAGCTCTCCTGGCGGCCGTGACTAGGTCAGGCATGAGCACACAGGCGGCTCTGGCCAGCAGGCTGCAAGAAGAGGGCTCCTGGGGGTCTTCTGACAAAGGTTGTATTCATTCATTCCTGAAGAGGGCCATGTGAGGTGAAACTGGCCCTTTTTTCCTCTCTCTTTTGGACTTAGCAGCATGAAGATATGACACTTGGAGCCACCACAGCTCTTTTAAACCTGACGGGATGCAATTGAGGTCATCTCGAGGACGGCCAGTGGAAAGATGGGAAAAAACCTGGGTCCTCGATAACTGTGTGGAACTCTGAACTCTGGAGAGTCCCCATCACCGCATTTCTTCCACTGTGTTTCACCGATTTCAATATACATTTGACATATTTACATTTTACAGTCCCTAAAATTGGGATGCATATTTTATGGTATGTCGTGGTTGAATTGGCAGCATTTCTTCTTTTCTTAGGGGAACTTACATGAACTATGTGTTTTGTGTTTTTTGTTTTTTTAAGATTTTATTTATTCATTTGACAGACAGAGATCACAAGTAGGCAGAGAGGCAGGCAGAGAGAGAGGGAGAAGCAGGCTCCCTGCTGAGCAGAGAGCCCGATGCGGGGCTTCATCCCAGGACCCTGAGATCACGACCTGAGCCAAAGGCAGAGGCTTAACCCACTGAGCCACCCAGGCGCCCCTAACTATGTGTTTTACAAAAGACTACATCTACGCTTTGGTGAACTGTGGACTGTCCTTACTGCCACCCATCTTACAGTAGGTTTGTGGTTACTTCCTTCTAGAAGTGTCTTTGCCACTATGGCTGCCCTCCTCAGGAGGCTCGGCTGTGGGACCTGCCCTTTACGAAGCCTGGAGTGAGCCTGGGTGCTCCGTCCCTCCTGGGAAGCAGACACTGCTCTTCTAGGCACTGGGAGCAGATGACCTGCCCAGGATCCTGCTTCTCCCCATACTCTATGTACCCTGTAGCTGGCACAGACCGTGGAATGGCCAGACACATAGGACTATGATCTGTAGTGACAGCAGTCTCAGGCTTGTTGAAATCTAGAGTCCGGGTGTACTCGGCTGGAGAGTGAGGACAGCCCACAGAAGAGGACGAGAAGTAGATCACGTTGTCTCAGAATTGCAGGCCACCCCCCTCTCCACTCATCCCTTCCTCACAGCTGGTGCTGCAGGAGGCTCGTTCCCAGGGGAGCCCTGCCCTCTGCAGTGCCTAGTTAGGGAGGGACTGAGTACCTCCGAACCTCGAGATGTCTCTGTACTTGGAATTATGTCTCCCTCATCGACAACTTAAAATACAAGATCACAAATAAACCCCTCACTTGGCAGGGATCCCATCAGCCCAGATGGATTGATGCATAACTGATTTTGCTCAGTGGGCAAAAGGGAGTCTTCTAATTCTTTGGAAAGGGATGGCGGCTGAAAGAGCACGGCAGGTCTGTCCTCTGACACTGGTCTTTCTTGATTTCGATGAACCATGTGGGGAGGGGCAGGCTAGGCGTGCAGTGCCCTTGCCCACCATGACTACACAGTCCCTCCAGCCCCCAGCCAGGTAGAGGCTACAGGGCTCAGTTTTGCCTCCTCACTTCCCCTCCCCCAGAAGTCCGGGGGTGGGTTCTGCTCTAAGCCCCTGGGGGCAGCTCCAGCTAACCCTCAGGGAAACTGAAGTCACTCACCCATGTAGAAATACTCTGGGGATTTGTCCTCCGATGAGAAGTCCTTCATGGTACCTCCGAACCGAAACCATAGTCCGAAACCAATGACAGCCGACCCTGCCAGCTGAAAGGGAAACAATACTGGTTTTCAGCAAAGGGAAGGGGACGGGTGCGCACAGCCCAGGAGTGGGCTGGGGGTACAGAGCGTTGAGGCTGAAGAGGCTGTCCCTTTAGAGATCAGCTTGTCTACCCTTCACATTTCCTGGGGGAGGAGAAAGGATGTGCTCAGAGCCCCCCAGGTTCCCGACGGGATATCAGAACTGGGGTTTCCTGATTCCAAGCTGAGTTGTCCCCATTCTTCTGGGCTTCCCTGTGGTTGCTGGGCATAGAGAGAACAGCCTAGGGAGGCATCTCAAGAAGAATATTCCAATAACAGTCCCTGGAAGGCATCTGTCCCCTGACATGTTGTCCTTTGCTGGGCACCCCGGACCTCCTCAGCAATATCACGGAGAGAGGGGACTGTGTTTCAGCCTCTGGGTCACCAACAGCAAGAAGAACTCTCAGACCTGGGGGAAACCCATTCTTTTAAATTGGGGGGAAACACATAGCCTTCAGAACCCACCCACACCTCATGAGTGTGCAGTGCCAGTTAGAAAGCTGTTCCAGAGACATCAAACTCTTGCTCCCGGGGCCTCCACGGTCACTCCACTGCCTGGGGATGGTTTTGCTGGCAGAGAGGAAGCTCAGCCGGTTTTTGTTTTGTTTTGGGTTTTTTTTTTTTTCTTTTGGTTGCTATTTTGAGTTTCCATGGAAAGTGAGAAAGGAAAAAAAATTTTCTGAAAAAGCGTGGTCTGTGTGCTGTGCGGCTCACGGTGAGGCCGTGTGGCTGGCGCAGGCCCGGCTGGGCAGGCTGGCGGCCCGTGGAGTCATCGCCTGCTTCCTCTGAGGGCTTCTGTGAGGCTCTGTGTCAACGCTGGGTCTTTTCTACTGTTGTAGGCCTGGGACGACTGCTGGCCTGCAGGCTCCCGCCACAAGCACCCATCCCGGGCTGCACCAGGCCGATCCATCAACAGACGTCCGCTGGGCACCTTCTGGACTCAAGTCACACGGGGAAGGAAGCAGATGGAAAGACGGCCTCCTGCTTCTGCCAACCCGTCTAGTTCATGTGGGGGCCCCTGGCCTGTCACCAGATGAACAGATGAGAGGCTGTCGCTGTCTCTGTCCCTGTCCCAGCAGGGAAGAGTGGACACAGATGCCGGCAACAAGACAGGACGCAGTCAGACGAGTAGAGGTTTAATAAGGAAAAATGGTATCAAAGTCAGGGGCAGACCAGAGCCCTCGGTACACAGGGGCCCTCTATTGGCAGGGCTGCCAGCCAGGCTAGTGCTGCCCTTCGGTGCTCTCTGGCTAGACTTAGAGAAGGCCTTAGCCGTTCCCTTTGCTCCCCTCCAGGCCAGCTTCTTCAGAAAAGCGGCGTGACTTCACTGACGAGTCTGAGGGGCTAGAGCTCTACCAGCTGAACTCTCTCATGTGGAATAAGTAAAATTTTCCAGTACTCAGAGGAAAGCACTGATTGGATAATGTGAGGGACAGCTAAAGGAGCTGGACTCAATCAGCTTTCAAAGACTTTTGCATTTTTAAAAGGGTAGCATGGCATGGAAAAATATTGACAGAAGTCATGCTAAACCATTCACAGTATTTATCTTTGAAGGTAGGATTATAGGTGGCTTTTTTCTTTTCACTCTTTTAAATTGTCCACACGAAGCATGGAATTACTCTTGTACATTTAAAAATGTTGTTTTCTCCGTGCATTATATGGTAGTTTATCTGCTCAATCCAGAAAAAGTGGGGAGGATTTTCTTGGGCCGTGCTCTAGTTTTGGGAGAAAACCAGCTTTGAAGTCATTGCTGTTCTGGTGCAGGGAAGAGAGCGATGCCCTTAGGAAGGCACTGTCCTAGACACTCCTCGAGGCTGCCTGGGACAGATGTGCCCAGCAAAGCCGCACAGGCAACCCTCCCCATCTTGCCTCTGTGGTGACTTGATGGAAAGGCAGTTTCCAAATACAAAGCAAAACCTATTGACAGAGGCATCAGGCCAAGGCCTGCAGCCACCAAGCAGACTGTGGAGGAGGTGACTGGTCCCAGGGACACCCTACCACGCGGCCACATTTTTGGCATGTCTGTACACAGACTCTAATTTATTGCTGTCTGGGATCATCCTCCCAGACGGAATACATTTGTCCACTTCTGGCACAGATGTATTTGATGCATAATGGAAAATTAAAACAGAGGTTGCAATTTCAAGCCACGGGGCAATGAGGGGAAAAAATCTGCGCTTGCTCGTCCACACCCCCAAGCCCAAACCACACGGGTTTCCTCCCGGGTCAAGGAAACTATGGCTTAACTGAATGTCATCACTGTGTGGAGGGAATCCTCCCAGCACACAGCCACGGGCTGTGTCAGGAATACATGGGGGAGGACCCGTCAGGCCTGAGGTTGCTCGTGACAACAACGATCACTGCTTTGGAAAGTGACATCAACAGAGACCACGTAGCCCTTTGGTCCTTCCAAACTCCCCATTCCTGTAAGGCTCCTGTAATACTCTGGTCACCGGGCTTTGGTTGGTCTGCCTCACCCTAGAAATGGAATTGAATTGGAAAAATTCACCCTCGTTCCAGACCAGTCAGGAGCAAAGTGAGCAAGGCTAGTAATATGAAGTCCCATTGCTCTGTGGGCCCCAAGCCCAGAACAGACCTCTCACAAAATGACCCTGGGAAGGCTTCAGGCCCACGAAAAATGTTAACCCCTTCTAGACCCAACCCCCTCTGTTCCTGTTCTTTCTACTCTTCTTAGTCTCAGCCACAACATGGCCCCTCAGGCAACATTAGAACAAGTAAGGAATGAGAGGCTGCCCTTTCCTTCTCGCCTCCTGCTCTCATCTCCTTCCCCTTCCTCCCTGTCTTTCAAGGAATCAACTGCAGTCCAGGTTGGGGGTGTGCTAGGCTTCATGGAATCAATGACGAAAGACAGGACTCACAGTCTCACACAGGAGCTGATCCTGCAAATGGATACATGCAATAGAAGGCAGGAAGCTCAGTGCTCAGGGGAAGAACATCACGCTGCCCAGGAAGCAGAGCAAAGCGCGACAAGTGGTGTTCAGCAGAAGACATTCTGCTTTGACTTACACCTTCAAGCATGAATTTGAAGTCCTTGAGCAGGAGAGGGCTGGAGGGAGGAGCAAACACCAGGCAGAGGGAACAGCATGGGTAAGGCTTCGCTTCCTTACCTGCAGCCTGTGTTGGGCAGAGAGAGGAATCTGGGGTTGGAAAAGGCAAGTTGGGGCAGACCATGCATGGCCCACAGCTTCTTCTTAGCCTGCTACCATCTTGGAAAGCCCATGGCAGGGCGCTGAGGGAGGGGAGAAGGGAGTTATTCATCCTGATGGGAGCAGTCAGGAGCATAGGTGCTCTTGGATGCCAGACAGCGAGGAGCCAAGGATAAAGGTCTGATGGCAGAAGGCGAGAGTGGGGACAAAGTAGGGACAATGGGGAGTGGATGCGGTGAGCACTGAGGACCAGAAGGATCCACTCTACTGAGGGCTGCCCTGCTTCCAGGACTAGCACCAATCCCCATGCCTTTGGAATAATCATCACTAGAAATGTTGTTTTTCCAGGAATGGACTTTTTCGTACAATACCATGAGTGGGTCTTTGATGCTTGTCACTTAGTAAACATTTACCGAGCATCTATTGTGAGCGAGGAGCCAAGGATTCATAGGAAAGGAAGATTCACCTCCTTCTCAGGAAGCTCTCAGGGGCTCATGGAGAAGCTGATTCCCACTGGATGGTCCAGGAGGGATACTAACTTTGCAGGTGAGAATTCAATCACAGAACCAGCCCATGAGAAGATGATGGATAGCATCATTTCTTTTCTGAGTCTCAACACTGTGTTAGGAACTCAGAGAATGTGATGAAACAGGATTCGGAGGGCAAAAATGTGTCCATTATTTAAGAAGAAACAAAATAGAGAAAAGAAAAAGGCAGCAGTGAAAGGAACAGTGATATATCAATCCATGTCATTAAATGGGGGGGGTATCACCAGATACAATTATATTATGCATCTTCAGGAGCAATCAGCATCTTCAGCTGATTTCAGCTTCTAACCATATTCCAGAGAGTCTGCAGGACACAAGGTTGCAAATTGTAAGCGTATGTTTTTAGATAAGACAGTTTAGTGTTCTAAAACTGAAGTGGCAGAAGAGAGGACTATGGACCTGCTCAGAAAGCATCTAAAACAAAGTGGATGGGCCAGAAGTTTCCTTTAAGTAATGGCTATCTGTCAGAAACAGGTCATTTAGCATGAAGCAGAACTGGTTAAAGGATTTCAGTTTCATTTTACTGTATTTACTTCTACTTTCCTGGGGTTGCTGCTGAAATGTTCTATCTTGAGGACACATTTCTTTTTTTCACTTAAAAAAAAAAAAAGATTCGGGCGCCTGGGTGGCTCACTTGGTTAAGCGACTGCCTTCAGCTCAGGTCATGATCCTGGAGTCCCGGGATCAAGTCCCGCATCAGGCTCCCAGCTCCACGGGGAGTCTGCTTCTCCCTCTGACCTTCTCCTCGCTCATGCTCTCTCTCACTGTCTCTCTCTCTCTCTCTCAAATAAATAAATAAAATATTAAAAAAAAAAAGAGTTCATGAATCATGAACATGGTTCTTTGGAAGGAGGTAAGATGGAAATCGGTCAGGGCTGAGATGAAAGGATGCCAGGATCACTTGCCAGTCCTGGGTCCCCCAGGCTGCCTAGCTCCCCCCAGCCCCCACCCCCACCCAGAGATGGCCAGCCAACCCTGATCACAACCCCTAGTCATGCCACTCTCTTTTCTGATGACTAAGCCCACCTTTCAGAAAGCCCTCTTTCTGGGTAAAAAGCTTCACTTGGGGAAGTTCTCACATGACGCGTGTCTTTTCACCTAGATAAAGACTGTTGTTCTCAGATCCTCTAGCCTGTGTGTCTCAGTTCCTTCTCCCACTTGGGGGTTTCTGCTCCTCCTATTTCTTTAGCTGGGAAAGCTCTCTTCCCCTACCTGTCCCTCTAACTCAACCAGCCCAAAGTCACTACCCTGG